ACTGGTCGTGTATACTAGAGCAAGGTGAGGTTGCCGTATGAATGCTCTTGGCAGGGTCAGAGCCATTGCCGTTGGTTTTGTCAAGAAGGACAGGAAATCATCTAACATATACCTAGATGAGAATTAAGAAGGGGAAGGAGAAGAGACAGGCTGTACAAATGGGTGAACCCAATGCCAATCTCGTCATAAGCTCTTCTTGTGCTCTCAAGATGGACACCCCTAGGCTGATTTACACTCTCTCCCTTGGTCATGAGCTTCTTGTTCGTAAAGACTGATGCAGTGTGAGTATAGTTCCTGTCCTTGTGTTGGCTTGGGGAGCTTTGCAAAGCTGATCACTGCATTGATAAAGGACTATCATCCGGGGAAAGCAGCTGTCACTAAAGGGTTAATGTGGTACATGCATGAAAAACAAAAATTTGGTAAATTAAGAATATGTGCTAGGTGGTGGTGGCACACGCCTTTAACCCTAGCACTTGGGAGGCAGAGGCACGCAGATCTCTGTGAGTTCGAGGTCAGCCAGTATACAGAGTGAGTTCCAGGACAGCCAGGGCTACACAGAACCCTGCCTTGGCAAACACACACACACACACACACAACAAAAGAGACACTCATACACTCATCATGGTGAAGGATTCCAGGGAGTTCTGAAGTATACTCAAAGATCTGTCCTTATATTTTTTGTTTCATAATTTCAATAGCACTAGTAATCAGCCTCTCAATCAATATATAAAATTTAATCAACAGAAGGAGGGCTGATGTAGGATCAATGGCAATACTGCTTGCATATGTGTCAAGGATCATGGCTACAGGTCTGGGAGTCTAAGGTACACACCATAAAAAAACAAAAGGAAAAGAAATAGGACTGTAAAACAGTTCAGCTGAACGGCAGCTTGCCTGGGAGTATACACGAAGCCCTGGGCTCAGTCCCCAGGACTGGGAAATAAGAGTCACCTTAAAGCTGTTTTTGTTTATTTGTTGGAGATAGGTTTCTCTATGTAGCCCCTGGCTGTCCTGGAACTCGCTCTGGAACCAGTCTGTCCTTGAACTCAAAGATTTGGCAATGCAGGGACTAAAGGCGTGCACCACCACACCAGATCTAAAGCTGTCTCTACATCACTGGCACAGGAGTACGATACCATTATTTCATATTAGGGCAGTGTTCCAGGGAAACAAGACTTCTCCTCATCCTTTCAACTGTTTCTGAGCCTCTCTGAGCCTTGATGTGGTTGACCTCCAATGGCTGCCATCTGTCCTCTGGGTACTGGGGTTGATTTACTCCAATTGGCAAAGAGCCGCAAACAGGAAGAGCCACACTCACGCCTGGTCTATGGGAGAACAAGGTAGCTCAGCTCCATAACCCCTACTGCCTAGATCAAAGCAAACAGAAGGCACTTAATAAATGCTTGCTGAAGCCAGGTGGCAGTGGTGCACGCCTTTAATCCCAGCACTCGGGAGGGAGGGACAGGCAGATTTCTATGAATCTGAGGAAATAAATAAGTAAATCATTTGCCCACATTTATTTTGGTGCATTTGCTATTATTTAATTAGTTGATTCATTTTGTATATGTACTTTAACAGCTAAGGTATAGATGTATATATTCCCATCATGATTAGTCTGTGGGCACATACTTTAATCTTTCATCTGCAAACCAAAGTACTGTGTCATCTCAGACTCTTCCTATGATACTATGAAATTATTTATTATAGTTATAATGATTATGTCACCACATGAAAAACACATTTAAATTTTTAAAAATTTACTCCTACAAATAGCTGCACCAACGATACCAAAACAATGGCACTATCAGTAACACACTAACATAGGAGAGGGAAATTTTCATAGGGCCCGCCCCTAGACAACTAATGCCTGCTAGAAGGAGAATTAGCCTTTCTCAAGGATGAGCCCATATTGGTTATCCAAGACGAGGTGGTTATTTCTGAAACCATATACACACAAACAACAAAAATGGACTCAGTGGGTTGTATTTATAACTTGTCCACACATATCCACATATTATGAGTGTAAAAGTACTCACGTAAAATGTATTTAAATTTTTTAACTTATATGTGCTTTATCTGCATATATGAATGTGCATCATGAGTGTACAGTCAGTGCCCTTGGAAGCCAGAAGAGGGCAGCATATCCCTCTGGAACTGGAGTGACGGTTGGTTGTGAGCAGCTATGTGGGTGCAGAAAACTGAACCCCCGTCATCTGGAAGCACAGCCAGAGCTGACAACCACCGAGTCACCTCTCCAGCCCAGACCCCAATATTTTAAACATGTGGTTCAGTTTGGATTTTATACCTACATAAAATCTTGTCAGCAATGGCAAAGAGAAATGGAGGAAAGTAAAGATTGGTTTAAGGGTGGGAAGGGACGATGGGTAGGTAATGCTTTTCCTTGATTTCTATTAATAAATTGAATTCTTAAATGAACTGACGATGGGAGAGAAAAAGGACTCGGAGAAGTTCTTCCTCCCCTGATGCGGGATTTGTGCTGCTCCCAGCCATGATCAGGAAGCTACTTATTACTGTAGCGGGAAGGGGCAGTGGTCATGCAGGCAACTGAGTGCTCAGCCATTCACGGACCATCTCCATCAACAGCCCCCCCCACACACACCTCACCCTGACACACACCAAGGCTCAGGGAAGGCATGGAAAAAGAGGCAGAGTGTGAAAGCAGGATAGGGGAGAGAGCTACGATGGTCCCCTCTTTCACAAGTTAGCCCAGGGCAGCTGTGGGTGTCCGTACAAGATTAGGCCAGGCAAGAATTCCAACAATGAGTAGGGAGGGGCCGCGGGGCCCCACAGCACCTGGGAGCTCTGGACAGTTGATGCTGCCGGCGCTGGAAGAGTCAGTTTTCTTGAGACGTATAGCCACCGGTGCGTTCCCCACGCCTCAGTCAGTGGCTGATCCCACAACCACGTGTTCAGACTAACCGTAATCAGGGCAAATAAATAATTATAAAGGACACGAAAATGGATGGGGGATGGAACGGGCTGCTGCGGGGAGCTGAAGGATGAATTGATCAAGATATAGTGTATACATATGTGAAATATTCAAAGAATAAATTTAAAAAGAAAGGAAGGTGAATGGGTGAAGATGGTGGGGTGGGGGTTGAGGGACTTGCAGGTGATTTCCGACCCGGAGAACGGTAGAGGATGCCGGTAAGGAAAGAATTGTTACTGCCGGTCCCCCCTTCCCTCCCCCGCCCCGCCAAAATCACTGCTACAGAAAAAGCTAAGCAGGAATCTCCACACGTGTGAAAATCGCTTCCAGAGGCCCTTGATGTACCAATCCAGGGCTTAAACACATGCCTAGGTGAGCCCAGACACAAGGTGGGACAGGCGTTAGACTGAGAAGGCAAGTCCTGGGCGCTACCTGGCTTCAATGAGTCTGCGTCTGCGAGGGTTAGCGAGGTCATGCCAGGGGCAGGGGCGGGGGGCGCTACACGCTAAGGCTCGCCTTTCTCATCAAATGGACCCTTCGCGCTGCATGACTTGGCTGCCCCAAGATACTCATCGGAGTCCCTGAGGTGCTTTGAGAAGAGCACTCCTGGGCAAGCGCACTCTAAGGGCACCTGGGACGCCCTTAGTCCCAAGATGTCACTTGCTTGGGTGTGGGAACAAATCGCAGACTTCTGGATCGGCAGCTCGTCCGCACACAGGCCTTCCTCGTGTTCCGGGCGCAGAAGTCCTGCCCCGGGGCAGTCTCCCACAGTGGGATTCTCCCGACACCACTCGCCTGCGAGCTCACACCCTACCAGAAGAGCTTCTAGAAGGTTCTTTCCAACTTTGCGGACGCTCGCCGGTGAACACACGGCTTGCCTACTGCCGGGATCCCACCCGCGTGGAAAAGTGAGCAAGTTCCACTGGGCCTCCCCTCTTAAAAGCCATCGCGGGGTGGGGGAGGCAAGTGCGCGCGCAAGCGGGAGAGGGGGCGGAGCCAGATGGTCTTCTCCAGCCCGCTCTACGTCACGAGCCTCGGCCCCGCCCAGGCAGCAGTGATTGGTAAGCAGGGCGCGCGAGCGCCCGAGGCCCGCCCCCTCCCCGCAGCGGTGCCCCGCCCACCGGTTGACAGGGATGCAAGTCTGGCCTGCAAGTTGGAACAAGAAGATGAGGGCGCCGAAAGGCTCAGACCCTCCAACACTGGTGGCTGTTACCCTGGACCTGGCAGCAGCCAGACGCCCCAAGCTCTTGAGTTCTGGCCCAACTCCGCTCCCGCAGGCCACTTTCCACCCTCAGCCACCCACATCCTCCTTTCAGTCCCCAGAGGCATCCACAGCCCCACGTGCCAGGAGGTCTAGCCTCGAGGACGCACTGTTCCGCACAGCGACTCCCATCCCGATTGCTTCTGCGGACTGCACAGTGCGAGCCGGGTCTGCAAGACTCCCCGCGCACCACTTTCGGCCTCCTCACTCCCGGCCCAGCATCCCCTCCGCCTGGCCGCACACCCTAGCTCTGCATCACCCCAACTCCGTGCCCGAAGCCTTCCGCAGTCCCGCTCCCCGGCGGAATCCTAGGTTCCCGGTTCAAGCGTCAGGATGTCCCTCACCCGGAACCCACTAGCGACTGCAAACATCTCCCACGACGTCTGGCCTCCGGGTGAATAAACCTCTTTGGGCCTCAGCCGGCGATCCCGCTGCACCAGGGCCTCCACCGCGCGCCCCACTCATCCATTCCACGCTCCGTGGCCCACACCCCGATCGCTGAGCCCGCTTCTTCCCCTGGGCTCCACTGTACCCTCCCACCTACCCCGAGGCCCCCCGTGTCCCGCGCCGGCGCCGCAGCCCTCCGCCCCAGACCACACCCCGCGTACTGGGCCCCCGACTCGGCCCCGCACCCCTCTCCCGGGCGGGCGGGCGGGCAGCGCCGGCGGCGGTGGAGGCTAGTCCTCGGGCCGGGACACACCCACCCGCCCGCCCTCCCCGCTTTCCTCCCTCCCTCCTGCGCTCCCTCTCTCCCGCCCTCCCGCCCTAGCACAGAGCTCGCTCCTTCCCTCCGTCTCCCGCTCGCGCTTCCCGCGGCGCCGGGCCTCCCGCTCCGCCTCCCCGAGCGAGGCTCTCCCGGGCGCGGCTCCGGGGTTCATGCTGACGAGGCGGCGGCCGCTCCAGCCCAGCGGCGGCGGCGGCGGCGGGAGCTGGGGCGCGGGCCCCGGCCTCCTCTCTCGGAGCGCGGGGCCGGGCAGCGGGCGCGCCCCGGCGGCGGCGGCGAGCGCCCCACCGCGCCGCGCTCCTGCGCGCCCCCTGCGCCGCGCCCCCGCGCGCCCCCCGCGCCTAGCTTGCGGGGGGCCGGGCCTGCGGGCGGCCAGCGCTGCGCGCACCCATGGACGGTCCGGCCATCATCACCCAGGTGACCAACCCCAAGGAGGACGAGGCCCGATCGCCCTGCGCGGGCGAAAAAGGTGAGGAGGGGCACGGGCAGCTGCCGCGAGGGGCGTGAGTGCACCCTGCGTCGCCCGAGTTCTCGGTGTGCGTCCGCACGGGCATGGGGGAGGGGTGCACCGAGCCTGGAGGGTGCGTGGGTGTGGGGTGCGCCTGGAGCAGAGGGAGGCTGCGAGGGTGCGTGTGCCAGCTGAGCTCGTGTGAGTGTGCACGAGCGGCCGAGAAGTTGGGATCGGGTGTGTGCACACTGCACAGAGCTGTTTTAAGTGTGCATGCGGTGCGTGTGACAGGTTGTGGGTGCACCTACGTGTGCGCGCAGGCCAGCTGGAAGATTATATGGGCGTGTGTGCTTCTAACAGATTGTGTGTTGCTGACAGGCTGTGTGAAGTTTGTGGTCTTATGTGGAGGTCTGTATTCATCTGACTGAGAGGTGACGGAGTGTGTGCAGAGCCGGAGCCTGGGGACGGTGGATGAGTATGTTCACTCCTGATGGAGTTGGTGTGCTTGTGATCGTGTGCCTACGCTACCCGACTGGCAGAACGAATGCACTGTGTCTCTCTACTGTAAGTGTGTGTGTGTGTGTGTGTGTGTGTGTATCCGCCGCCCTGACCAGAACCAGTGGGTACAGGAGTGCACACAAGCTTGTGCACAGCACAGTGAGATCTTGTCTTGAGAATAGTTGGTTGTGCAAGTGGAAGAGGAGCTGTGCTGACCCCACAGCACCACACACGTACAGGCACACGCGCACACTTCCTTCCTAGCTCTTGTCTCTGTTAGAGCTTTGGGGAACTGGTCAAGGACCCAACCAGCAATGCAGTGTTGCTCCTGGTTTGTTTGGGGGCATATTTTGGCCCTAGTCCCTTTCTCTGTTTACTTTTTGCTCTTTTTCTTGGTCTGTTGACCCCTGGGAACTGCCTGGAGTCACTGTGCGTCCTGCAGGTTGGACAGACTGATTTGGAGGAGCTGACCAATCTGACTGGTTTGTTCTGGCGACTAACTCTTGGCTTCACTGTCCTTCTGCCATGTGCAGGACAAACACTCCTGTCCCCTCCCCAAGGACCTGCTTGCTCCCTCCAGCCTGTGTGCCAGTGCAGTGAGCAGGGACTGCAGCCCTCCTGGGAAATAGGATGAGGATGGAGGAATAGCCCAGCACCTCCCCCCAAGTAGGACCCCTGGACAAGCCAGGAGAATACAGAGACTCTCCAGAGGTCCCCTGGGAGGGGATTTGCCATCCATTTCACCCTGTACACTGTAAACACTGCCTGTGTCTACAGACTGGTTTTCTAAATGTACAACAGAGAATTCAAATTCCCCAGAAGCCATTCATGCCCTATAAATGAGTTTTGAAAACCCTGCAAGAGGGTTTGGAGTGAATTCCACGCCTGCCTGGGGCTTATGTGGATAGCCCCTCTGGAGTCTAGCCTTCCCACCATAGGGGCTGGAGTTTTATGGACCCTGGCTGGGGATGTCCCCTCAGGGAGGGTCTCCGAGCTTGGTGAACCCAGTGGTCCTCTCTACTGTGGACTTGTAGCAAGAGCTGTGGCAGGCAGCTAGGGGATACTTGCCAGGACCTGGGCCCTCTTGCCGCTCCAGCTTCTGAACTGCAGTTTTGCAAACTCCCTCGTCCTCTGCCTGCTCAGGTTTCTGAAGCAGAGTCAGCCTATAGAAAAACCAGACCTTGTAGGTATTACTCCCATTGGGCTTGTTGACATTGCTTTTCTGGACAGGCCTTTCATATCCTTAACAGTCTATTTTGTTTGTTTCAGTGTCAGCTTGGTTACTTGTTAACCGATTAGGGGAATTCCATGCCTGCTGTCCTAGGGTGGGGTGCCTGGCTAGTAAAAGCCTTAAAATACCACTAACATGAGTTTTTTACTCCAAAAAGTTGATATAATTTTGATCATATGTGGTATAACAAAATACTTGAGAATCGTTGTTTTATCTATTTATTTTTAAAAATAGTTTTGGCTTGGTTGGGGCCTGGCGGTGGTGGCGCACGCCTTTAATCCTAGCACTTGGGAGGCAGAGGCTGGAGGATCTCATGAGTTCAAGGCCAGCTTGGTCTACAAATCAAGTTCCAGAACAGCCAATCTACTAGAGAAATTTGGAGGAGGGGGGATTCAGCTTGTGCTTTGACAGTCCCACAGGTATGCAGCATATCCTGATTATATCCACCCCCAGCTCCCCTTAGCCCCTCCAACACGTGCTCCTCCCACCCTCATGTCTATTCCTGAGAATCAGATTCGAAACAGATTCTTTAAAAGAACAAACCACCAAATGGGTTCAGCAGTATTTCCAGCTTAAGTATGCTGGTATCTTTAGATAGGCAGAACATATTTTATATAATTTAAATGAAGACATTTTGTCATTAAATATTGGGCCTGCCGTGTTTGGAAGTGTTTGTGGTATGAAAGTGATTGATGGTTTTTAAAAACGTTTGCTTTCATTATTTATTCTGTCAAATAGGCGTGACAGCAACCAGCCACTCTTGGGTTTGATGGGCGGGATAAAAGAAGCCGTATATCGAGAACTCTGCCCTGTGTACCCCTGTGCCACTGCTCCACAACCTTTGTCTCGGTGTGGGTTTAGAAAGGAAGCTGGATGTGCTGGCAGCAAGTTGAATTACTGCTTGACACAGTACGTGTGGCTGTGTACTCAGAAATGGCTGTCGCTGTCACCTTAGCCTGTCTCTCTGGGCTGTTCCTTCCCTTTGTGTGTGGTCGGGTTGATAGTGTGAGGCTCCGAGGGACCCTGTCCCCCAACAGGCTAACTCTCCCCAGTTTGCTGTCACATGGCACCCAGAAAAGCAGACAAGAGGTAGGAATGAGAAAGCCGCGGGAGAAAAAACGGAATGAGGAGTGTGTCTGTGAACAACCATTCCCAGGTCATCGACACTTAGGTGACTTCCAGTGTTCAAAGCTGACATGTTTGGGAAATGGCTCCTCTCAATAACTTGGGAGAAGATTTTTAAAAAATAGTGCAGGTTTTTCTTGTCGTTAAGATTTATTTATTTGTATTTCATTTCTGTGGGTGTTTTGCTTGCATGTATGTCCATATGCCATGCGTGTGCCTGCTACCTGTGGAGCCCAGAAGAAGGTGGTGTTTGATCCCCAGGAACTAGGGGTAAGGATGGTTGTTGTGAGCCACCATATAGGTGCTGGAACTGAACCCTCTGAGGGAGCAGCCAGTGTTCTTAACCAGCCCCAGGGGTGCAGGCATTTTCAAGAGTAATTTAATACTTAAAGCATAAGGAATGCTTATGGCTGTAAGTAACAGAAAACCAGGCTTCCGGCAGCCTAAGCCAGCTCCTCCTTAATGACAAGTGACTGCTGTGGCCCTCGGCAAGCAGCTCTGATGTTAGAGCCAGCATCACAGTGATTCTCGTGGCTCCCCCACCCCCACGTCGCATCCTGGCTGCAACCCTGTAGTCACCAAAGTATGATCCTCAAGGCAAGAAAGTGGACAGAGCCACTCCTGTTTATCCCTCTTACCTGGAAAGCCAACCATTCCCAGGGGCTGCTCCGTAAACTTTTGTTCATGTTTAATTGGCCAGAACTCGATCACGTGCCCTCCCTTAGCCTCAAGCAAAATCGAGGGAATTGTCGAGCCCACGTAGGAAAAAGAGAAGACCATCACAGAGGGGACCAGTGTCTCTGTCACAGAGGTGTCTCCTCCTCTGCACTCCATACACAGTGCGATGATGTCACTGTTGACTGCATGGCTTGCTATAGCAACATTCCCAGCCATCCTGTGTCAACAGGTGAGTAAGGCTGGCCCGTGGGCCCTCAGTCCTGCAGAAAGAATGCTCCCAGGCCATCGGACCAGACAAGTTCAGTTACATCTGAACATACAGACACGTGACTTTCTGAGACATTCCAAAGCGAGAAATCTCAAGAATGACGTAACAGTGTGATCCTATCTTGAATTTTTTTTTAAATCAAATACACAAAACTGAACAAATGTGTAGAAATACACACACAAAAATGAGACAAATGCACAGAGATGATTCCCCCCGGGGCAAAGGCTGAGTGGCAAGTGAGGCAGCTTTGGCTCTTTGTTTAAAAATTGATGAAAATATGCTTTTGTTTTTTGGATGAATTTTTTTTTAAACTAAGAAAGGACATTTCCCCTAGACCTTTGGAAAGAAATAATTTGAAGGAATTATACAATAACAAAACAAATCCCAAAGAAACCTCGATTAATATGCAGAAATACCCAGAACATTTCAATGCCAGCTCAACAGCTGATTGTTTGGAGCTATTAGGCTTGCTGGAGGTTACCACAGGCTGGTGTATTTGTGCAGCTATTCGGGCCCAGAGTCCTGCGTCTGTTTCTCATGAATGTTTGTGACCCTTAGTCCTTTATTAAATATCATTCTAAACTTTTAAAATTTTATTTCATGTGTATGGGTGTTTTATCTGCATGTATGTGTGCCGTGTGCATGCAGAGGCCAGAAGAGGGAGTCAGACCACGGCTGGAGTTACACACAGTTGTACATTGTCATAGGGGTGCTGAGACTTGAACCCAATTCTCTGAAAGAGCAATTTTTAGTCATAACTGAGAGTCTTCAACCTTGGAGGTGCTGACAGAATTACAGCTAACAGAAGGTCTTCTAAGCCGTGATCATTTCAGACGACAGGATAGGCTGAAGGGAGGTTCACGCTAACACTTTGTCGAGGCAGTGTGAGGCAAGGTCAGGCTGCCCAGGAATTTTCTGTGTAGCCTTAAATTAGACTGTACCTCCTAAATGCTGGGATCGCAGTCATGTCTCAGTGCACCCAGTTCATTCAGTTTTTAAAAGTAAACTTTTTGTCATGGTTGCTGTTGTTGTTGAGACAGGGTTTCCCATGTAGCCCTGTCTGTGTAGATCAGGCTGGCCACAAGCTCAGCCATCCCCTGCCTCTGCGTCCCAGTGCTGGGATTAAAGGTGTGCCCTCTGCACCAGATTTAAATTACCCATGCCCAGCTTATGCTTTTATTTAGTCATAACTGTGGATTATATGTTGTTACAAGAAATCCC